GTGTGGTTTTGCCGATCCGTAGACTTGACAGCCGTAGTCAAGCCTGGACCGGACAAGGGAGATGTACAAGTGGAGAAGGTGTTTTGAGTCCCCGCCCCACTCCGGATGCGACAGAATTTTCAAAGCGTTTAGCGCTTTCTGGCACCTCACACGAAGGTCTTTGATGCGTGGTATGAATGTGAAATTTTTGTCGAAAATGACGCTGAGGAAACGAGCTTGGTCCTGGATGGGAATCCTTTCCCTGTATAGTGTCAAATCCGGCTGCAGCACACGTCTGCCTGTTCGGCAGAAGTGTACTAACTTGAAACTGTTATTGTTTGCCCACGTTTCGAGTTTGTGCAGCTGCGTTTGCAGCTGTCTTTCCATAGATCTCAAATGAGGATTTTTCGAACGGCAGCATATCAAAAAGTCGTCAACGTATAACGAGCTGTCTTTGCTGTTTTGGAGGGTTTTTACTATGGAATTTATTTTAATTTCGAATAGAAGAGGAGAAAGGATGCTCCCCTGGGGGACTCCTTCCTCCTGTTGGTGGGGGTCTGAAAGGGAGGATCCGACACGAACCTGGAAGGAACGGTTCTTCAGAAAGTTGCCAATGAAGGCAGGGAGGTGACCGCGTATGCCGAGTGCGTGCAGGTCTCGAAGGAAGAATGCTGTACTTCCAGGTTGTGTCGAAGGCTTTTTCTAGGTCAAAAAAGATGGCGATCATGTGGCCTCTTTCAGCGAACGTCTCGCGTATAAAGGTCTCCAGGCGGACCAGGTGATCCAGAGTGGATCGAGTTTTCCTGAATCCGCACTGGAGACCGCTCAGCGAGCCTGTCGTTTCCAGAAACCACATGAGTCGCCTGTGAATCATTTTTTCAATCAGTTTGCAGAGACAGCTCGTTATTGCCATCGGTCTGTAATTGGATGGGTGTGTGTGGTCCTTGTTTGGTTTGGGTATTGGAATGACAGTGGCGAGACGCCAAGACTCACATGTCGTTGTATATGTGTAGTAGGAGTGTAAGTGTTTCTGAGGGTAAGTGTCTAATGATCTGGTTGTGGATGTATCCGGTCCCGGGGCTGTATTGCCCAGGTCCGAGATGCACTATGTTAGTTCGTCTATTGTGAAGTCTGCGTTGTAGGTTTCAGTGTTGTTTGAGTGGAAGTTTAGGTGTTGTTTTTCTCTGTTAGTTTTGATGTTTTGAAAAGTGGTGTTGTAGTTTGCTTGGGATGAGTTTTTGGCGAGAGATGTAGC